GCTGATTTTAAAATGTCTGAATTTAACTCAAACTAATTAGCCGCTTTCACACCAAGTACTTTGCGGTACTTAGTTCCCAGTACTTAGTCCCGCCGAACTCTTTAATCCTGGAACTGTCCTAGTAGATCGCGTTCACACCGGAATAAGTTCCCGGGGGGTGGATTAGGCAAATGAAGCCGCTGACGTCACTTCTTCTTCTTCTGCTTTGGGTTTACTGGCAGGCCGCAAACAACTTCACGGCGTATACTGCCACCTGAAGTCCCCGGCCGGAAGTCCCCGGAGTTGGGGACTGGCTCCAGCAGCCCAGGAATAGTTCCGATAGTTCTTGGGATTTTGCGTTGACACCAAAAAGATCTGGAACTAGAACTTAGTTCATGTGAACCTTTTCCAGAGCAGGGACTTTCGTGGGAGAAAAAGGTTCCAGTTTCTGATTGTCTGGGCGGATTGCAAACCACGCCCCGTAAAACTCCCAAAAAGTATTGTGAAGGCGCCATTTTATTTGCTTGCATTAGCATTATTAGCATTAGCATTAGCCCAACTCACCAACGGAGAGAGACTAACTTATGGCAACACAAAAAAAAACATGGGAGCGGTGGAGTGATGAGGAGGTGTCGGCTACAACGCCTATTGTAGTTCAGTAAAATGTGAAATATTTCCATCTGAGATGAAGTAAAAGTAGCAGAACATGGAAATATCCTCAAGTACATTTCAAACAGTGCAGTATTGGAGTGAAAATGAATTTTTTAAATGTGGTTTATTTCAGATTTGGACCTGGGGAATGTGCTGCTCTTCCCCGTCGACGACAAACAGTCACGACTAGACGGCCAGGATCAGGTACTTAAAAAGTCCCTGTTGTTCTCTTTGTGGTGTTCGATAGGTGATTGTGTATGTTAATGGTCTGCAAAGGTTTTCAGGAAAAAGTCTGAATTTTTTGTTTTTCAGGGAAAAAATTCAGAATTTAAGAAAAAAGTCAGGATTTTTAGATTTTCTGAAAAAAATCTGAATGTTGAGTATTTTTGAAAATTAAGAATTTTTGGATTTGGAGAAAAAATGCACTATTTTAAAAATATTCGAGGAGAAAGTCAGAATTTAAAAAAGTCAGACTGTTGCTCGAAAACATCAACAGAATATGTCCTTCCTTAAAAACGAAACTCAGCGCTGCCTGGACTGGATGCTGGTTCTGAGATCAGCTGTTCTTCTTCTCTCAGTTGTTTTGGTCGCTATGTGGTTTTATTTCTGATGAGTCCTCAGATAAGCTGGGTTTGTTCTACTTCCTGTTTGTCAGCTGGCTCTGATCGTGGCGCAGCAGAGAGACGGAAACAACAAACTGTCGGCCATCTTCCTCTCCGCTCTGGACGAAGGACTGAAGAAGATCTACGCTGTGGCAAAAAGACTCAAGGGTACCAACAAGCCCTCAATGCTTCAGTTTTTTTTTTGTGTATTTTTTATACTCTTTTTGGGGTAATTTTCAACATACAACATTTAAAAAAATATTAAAAACAACAATATTTATTTATAATTTTTTAGGGATTTTAGAAAATAAATAAATAAAATAAAATAATTATTCAATTCATTTTGAAACAAAAAACAAGTAAAGCAATATTTTTAAATAATAAAAAAAAATGATTAAAATGTTTAGAAATAAATTGTATTCTTAAAAAATCCTCAGATTAATAACACGTGTATAAAAAGTCAGAAAGTATTATGTTCATCTCAGTGTCTCTCATGCTGGTAATTAATCTTATTATGTGAAGACAAAGAGGAGGAGGAGGAGGAGGCGTCTTATTTTAGACTCGCCTGACCAGATCTGTCGTCACTCTGCGTGCACGGAGGATTCTCACACAAACAATTATCTAAAATATGAGAAGAGTCAGATGTTCCTCGGGTTGTTCCACCTGAGTCTGTTCACACTGTTTCCTGTTGGTGATGCAAACGGTTCTGAAGTGCAGTGACAAGCATCGCTCAAGTGGAGCGTAAACACATCAGTTACTGCAGTTCAAGTACTAACTATGAGAAAGAAAGATGGACCTTTTATTGAGGGGGACATTCAGTCTTCCACTTTTTATAAACGACCATGCGTTTTTGTTGTACAGAACATTTGGTAATTTTCATGTTCAGAAACAAACGAAATGGAAAAACAAAACGCAAAAAGAGAAATATATACATTTAACCGTGTTTCCCCCGAGAGAAGGTTTTTGATACAACTTGTGATTAGTTCATACTACAACTAGTCTCAACTACACACACTCACAAAACGTAACTAGAAGTTTGGCCGATCCAATGTAGTTGGAGCCGTTATTTGTCAGGACTGAATGGTTGGAAAACTAAAAGGTTACGGTCTGTCCCTTTCGCTGCAATCATTGTCGGCTAATCGACAGAGACTTGATAATGGATTCATCTTTCATTCCTCCTGCAGAAAAGTCTCTAAAGTCTGTTTCTCTCTAATCTGGAGATACTTTTCTATCTTTGGACATTTAAACACATCACCTTGACTCTGAGACACTGGTTTCGGACATTTCTTACAGATTTTCAGACATTTTATGCATGTTTTTATGACAGTTTTGGGGCAAATGTTCAAAATGTTTGCTGTAATAACATGGCTCATCAATGAATTAATCTCCAATTGTGGGGGAAACTTCTGAAGCGATTGGAGTCAGGGCTCAGAGAGAGACACGAGGAGAGCTGCTCTGATGGAGTCAGGACTCAGAGAGAGACACGAGGAGAGCTGGAGCTCTGATGGAGTCAGGACTCAGAGAGACACGAGGAGAGCTGCTCTGATGGAGTCAGGGCTCAGAGAGACACGAGGAGAGCTGGAGCTCTGATGGAGTCAGGACTCAGAGAGAGACACGAGGAGAGCTGCTCTGATGGAGTCAGGACTCAGAGAGACACGAGGAGAGCTGCTCTGATGGAGTCAGGACTCAGAGAGATGTATGATCTGTTTGGTATTTAGAAAAATCAAAAATATAAATATGCCTTATATAGGTATGGTCCTACACTATATTATTCAAATATAGCATGATAGGTCCACTTTAAGGGAGATAGCTGCTGCTCAAGGTGGAGCCTCTCCGTCAGAGGGCGAAAGGTCAACATGTATACAGAATTATTCCCTGACACCAACTCTTCTTTTATTGGATTCAGCAGTAATGTCCCCTTTGCTGGATAGATGGATGGATGGATGGATGGATGG